TTACTCCACCCAGTTATGTCAACCGGTTCCACACAACTGGGTTAGTGAAATATAAAATGTATGATACATTTAATTTGAACAAGAAATTTTAAGTAAATCTGATAAATCTACTCACCCAAAACACGCTCCACTGAAACTATAGGATTAAATCACTTTAACAGAATTGCAACTTACTCTATTTAAGTTTGTAAATTAAATAAATCGAACACAAGTTTATTCAGTTAACCTAACTTTAATAAGACTTTGTGTAAAACTTCTTGAAGCATACTTTGAGCAATTCAAATGCTTCTAGATCTTTTTCCTAAACAATCTTTATACTCAACGGCATTTTAAGTGCAGGAAGACAAGATACAGAATGTCACGTTAAACTGAAATGATTAAAACTGGAAATTGTTGTGATTCCAACATTTTTAACATTAACATGACTTAATCTAAACTTGATTTGGTTACAATGAAAAGCCCACAATACAGCCCTGCAAACAGCAGGTAGAAATTACTTTAGTGTCATTTTTGTCCATATTTTGAAAAATAACCTTTGCTTCAAAACTTCAACTGAAGTCCAAAGTTAGGAGCAGTCTTTTTCAGTGTAGTTGGATGTTGGTAAAAGTTCAAGAACAAAGAACGCAGAAAAGCGAAAGGCCTTGCAGAAGTTCTTGTGGCAATTCAAACACAACAGTTTATAAAGTGCAAAGAGAAGGGTTCGAGAACCTTAAAGTTCAGTGTCCTCTATAGTTCATTGCAGGCTTTTTCACTCAAGCAGTTTGTTTTTCAGAACCTGCACCTTCGTGGATAGGTTGTTCCCATCCAACTCCATCAGCACCTTCTGAAGAAATTCAAATGTGTATTTCAGGTGCTTTGGGTAGCTCAGATTTAGACTGTAGATCAGTCCAAGCAGGAGGGCACAACCCTTTGGCACATCACTAAGAGCTTGCAGCACAGTGCATCCTTCTATGATGACACCAATGTCCTCAGGTGTATCTGCAGAGTCTGCTCCTTCATGTCTGACAACATAGACTCCCAAAGTCAGCTGCTCCGTTTCTCTGCTTGCTCCAAGATCCACATCCTTTAAATAAAAATAAAAGAAAAAGATAAGTTAATTGCATACATATACATATGGACAAGTAAGTCCACCTTCCATTTCCAATCCTAAATTAAAAAAAGGAAAATAACTGATTGTTTTCCTTTTTCAACTTACCAAGAATTCTTTGAACAGGTCATCTGGCTTTTCATTTAAGTAGACACAGACAGCTTTCAGAATGCATTCCCGTCGAACGTCAACGCTGGGATTCTGGTGGAGATAAGAACTCAATATGAGAGAAGTTTCCTATTTTGGTTCCTTTCAACCTCTTTACAAAACAAAGTCAAAAATATTAACACATAATCCAGGTAAGTGATTAAGCAATGTTTCATAACTCACATCAGTGACGTGCAGTGAGGTTCATGATTGGTAAGGCACTGACTCCTCTGTGTCAGATTAACAAATATATGAACCCAAAAATCGAAGCTTTTCAATTTTGATATTACGTGAAAGCTTTCATTTTTGCATCCGAAGCTTCTCGGATGAGAGGTGAAACGTCTTCAAGCAACTTGAAGAAGTCCAGACGCTTTTCTTTCCAAGCTCCTTAGATAACAATAAGAGTTACAATAAAACATCATAATAGTATTTTTGCCTATAAATCTATCAATGCAGCCTCACAAATACTGCAAATTAAACTTTGCAAATGTGCTATTTAGACAAACCAGCAGTTATTTATCTTGTTGAATTGATGATAAGTTTGACATTAATGGAAGTAATAGTCTCAACTAAATTATCATATTTAATTTTTTTTTTGAGGTTTGAAAGCAGTCTATCATTTTAATCACATAGGACGTGTGTTATCACAATATTGATAAGCGATGCAATAAGTGCCCAGCCCTACAGAAGATGCATTAAAATTTATTTAGGTTTGGTGTGTCTCATTTTTTGTGTGTAGTAAATAAATTGGTCAAATGACTTGGAAGCAATTATAGGAAAATCATTAATTTTACATCAATTTCTTAATTCATAAATAAGAGATGCATTCAAATAAAATTGGTGCGTCTCATTGCTTAGGACTGATTTGGTGTCAATTTGTCCTTTGTGAAATTTACTGATGTTCCCTAAGTGCGCTGCTTTATCCACTGTGTCAATGGCGCTCTCAGTGTAATGTGATTACACTGTGAATCCATATACGTGTACCTCTTATACATGTTGCCTTTAGGGTTCAGCACTGCCCTCCATCAGCCTCACTCCATGCATTTTTGCAGCACATTTATGACCAACAACATTAAACATGTAACACACATTCGTCAAAAAAATTAGGTAGTCTACAGAAAGTCATCATTTGTGTAACCAAACATGTATGTTGGCAATTTAGATAAACAGCAGAGGGATTGCGCATGTGTGTGTCCGTGGTGAGACAGCATAATCATTGCCCCCTCTCAGCGTGTTACTTTGTATTTGAACAGAAAATCTGTAATGACGGCAATTTTGACGATAAAAATGTTGAAATCACACAGAAAGCAAATTTAAAATCTAGTGTACAAATTGAATTTCTCTTTTGTTAGTATTTTACTTCTAATTAAGGTGCCTCACTTGCATGTCACTGATTCACATGTATCCATAAAATATTCAAATACACAAAATTTCAGTTGAAAAAAAATTTCTGAGTAATGACAGACACAGAAGTTGAAGCATTCAAATAATTTCAGAGCTCAATCAAGGTAAACTAAAATACATTCCCCATCCATGGCTGCCATGATTAAGTTGATATTGCGTTTAGCTGTCCCCCCTTTCTTTTTGAACACTCTAAGGTGGTCAGCGTAGTGGTCCAGCTTGGCCATGAAAGTCGACAACAAAGGGACCATGGTGATGCGGGTGAACTCTGCAACAACCTGAAACATATTAAAAATTACAACTAGAGAGTATTCTCTATTAATTTGATTAGAGGCCACATGCAAGAATGTTACAACTTTCAGTCAAACATTTTGTATTTTTTAAAATTAAGTTTACAGTACTTTTTCTTCTTTGCCTTGAGGCAACTTTTGTTGTGATTTGGTGCTATATAAATAAAATTGAATTCAAATACAAGTTCTTATAAGAATGACTTGCAATAACAAAGTTAGTAAGAAGTACCTCAGTCTCTGAAAACAGGGCAGGCCATCTGTTTTTGACCTCTGCAATGAATGGCATGTCTTTGATGATTTCCTGTCTTCGGTAGGCAAAGGTTTTTTCCATTTTTCTTTTTATTAGTTGATCATTATTCTTCTTTTTGACCTCTAGTAGAAGAGCTTTCCTTTCTTCCTCAAGGCTCTCTTTAGTTTCACCTGGTGGATAATCCGGACAGAAGTTGACTTCTGCCTTCCGTGGCTTCTTCACCTGGTTGGGACCTGGACCCATGCCACTTCGCTTTTCTTTCACTGAATTAATGGTCAGCTCTTGGCAGCCGATGTTCCTTAGTCTAGTTCGATAGTTTGCCATTTTGTATTTCAGGCTGATTTTCCATCCATAATAGCCAGTGACTGAACCTTGCTCCTTTAAACATGGATATTTTGTTATCAAGGCCTCCGCTACATTATCAAATTCTGCGCTGGAAGGATAGATTTTGTATTTGACCATTTCTGATGCCAAACTTTGCAATATATCAGATTTGAGTTTGGTACTTGGATGCAGAAGAGTACCATTGTTAAGGAAGGCTTGGTTTCCTTGTTCTAACTGAAACTGCACCTCATAACTAAACTCAGGTATTTGGAATTTCAAGGGCCATGGTTGTGATCTCAGTGAAGAATCTGACGAGGTAGATTCAGCAGAAGAAAGAATGTCTGTATCAGCTAGAGAACATGGGGTGGAACAGTCATCTCTTTCCTGGAGTGTGGCATTGAGGGAGACTACATCCGACTCAACTGGCAAGTAAACAACTTTAACTGTGGACTTGTCTTTGATTTCTGAAGGCAGTGTCAAGTTCACAAACTCGTTGTCAAATTCAATGTCTCTGTACTGAAGCCTGAAGTTTCCAGTCAAACCAAATTGCCTTCTAATTTCTTCCTTAAGGTACTCTAGTGAACTGGGTATCCCATTGGGAAGAGATAATTTTGATGCGTTGTCCTCTCCAAGAATGATTCTTAAAGTTGCAGCCATCTTGTTTTCATTCTGAAAACCAAAAAAAAAAAAAACAACTTTTCTTTTCATTTTGGTGGAATTTATTTGCAAATAAATTACCCGTTAATGTTTCTTAATGAAAACCAATCTAAAATTTAATTTTTAAGCCTAGTTTATACTTCTTCGTCAGTGTGGGCACAGAGACGTGCTGTGTCATTTTGCGCAAGGCAAGCACCCTGTAGCAGACTCGCAAGGACGAACAGAGACATGCCCAAGTTTTTAGATAAATATCAAACTCCATGGACAGCGCAAGCCTGTGATTGGTCAGCTAACTACTTCAATTCAGGAAAGTCACTCTTCTGGTTTTCTCATCTCACAAAAACAGCGATTTAAGAGGTAAAGAGAGAGTAGAAAGCAGAGTTCTACCATGGAGCAGATTGAAGAACATCTAGCTGATGAAGTCTGACAATACAAGCTTTAAACAATCGGTCCCGGAAAGATTAAAAGACAGCGAGTCACATGAGTTGTGCCAGTCTCAAGAAGCAATGCACCACCTTGCTGCCCTGGCAAATTGCTTTGAAACAGTCACAAAGCAACGGAGAAGTTTGAAAGGATCAAAGCTCCGTCAGTGTGCCTGAGTGTATGTATTGGTCTCCTGGTGGAGAAGTATAAACTAGGCTTTGTGTTACTGTAAATGTGTCAAAGATCTGAAGTCACCACTAAGAAAAAATATAAAATAAAACTTACCAGCAACATGTACAAATCTTTTTAAGGTTACCATTCGTAGGGATCCAACTTTGTATTCAGCCAATGGATAGTGGTCAGCAAGTTCCTTCTGATCAACTGCTGCGAACTCTCTTGTTGGATGCAACTCAAAGGCTCGATAATGTTCTCTATAATAGGAGTTGAGTTTTTTAACAATAAGAGTCAACTCGTCTTTAATAATGCACAACTGCATTATTTCGGAAAATCCCGGAAGACCACCACAGGATCCATGCACAACTATCATGCCCTTTTTATATCTGATGCCATTGACAGTGACACTTTGGGCCAGGTTTATTTCAGAGATTTCTGGGTGCTTCTGTACAAGCGAGTTCACAACATCATCATGAAGGATATCAATTGAGACTCTTGAGGTTTGCAAAACTTCCAATGAAGACTTCTCGTTGTCAGGGCGAAGCAAATTATAAGCAACCATTTGCTGATGCTTGTTTGCCAGTGTAAATGTTACATTTCTGAAATTATGTATGTGCCTAACAACCTGCTTAAAAAAGCTATGTTTGGCCTCGAACCGCATAGTCCATAATGATACAAGAGGACCAAAACATTTAATCATTTCAGGATAGTGCTCCAGAAAATGATGTTTTGGCAACAACCTTTGATCAGGAAAGAGTGCTTGGTAGCATTTACGATGATCTGAGATTGTGCATTCCAGATATGCAATAGATTCTAAAGTATGAACATTTGCCACAACCAAATCTGCAATATCTTTCAAATACAATATCACCTGCCATGCAGGTTCATCAATAGGAACAAGTTTTCCAACAATTAGTGGAAGTAACCGAAGAAGGCACCAATTTTCATGTGCATTCCCACCAATTGTGTGCTTCTGCTGCAGGTTTTTGGGTAACACATGAGGACGGTTAGTTTTATCCCCACATTTGTAGGGAAAAGACAGTATGAGATTATTCAGATGTTGAAGAGTAAATAACTTTTTAGATATTAGCACTGCAATGCACTTTGCCAGTTCAACGGGAACTATGCCTTCGAATAGATCATGGACAATGTCAGGTGGGTATCCACTTATCACATTAAAGTGAGATAAGCTCTTAGTTAAAACACATCCTGTCCTTACACCAAAGCAGCTTACCCCTTTTTCCTCACAGGTTTTAATGTGCAACTGATGAACCTCCTTGGTCCTACGGTCAAAGGCTCCTGATTTCACCTCGAGCTGCTGGATGTCTGAAAGCTGAGCTGTACAAAAGCGGCAAAAATATTTTCCTGAGAAACTCTCAATAAATCCAGCTAGGCCATGAGCCCCAAGATTATCAGCTATAACGCACTGAACGGTCCCTTTAATGAATGACCCAAGCTGTGGAATAAAAACCCCTTCCTGCTCTAAAGTTACAAGGTCATGCAACAGTGGCTCAAAAAGTTTTTGATAGCCGTATTCTTTGACAAAATCCACTTTGCACAGCAGTGCTAAATAGATTGATGAAAGGGCTGAGCTGCTACCAGGGGGCAAGTTACCAAAAGTCCAGTACACAGCACAAAGCTTGTGTTTCTTGCGTGATGTTCCCAATGGATTGCAAACTTCAAAATCATCTACATATAAACACAGAGAGATCCGCAAAACTTCACTAGAAAAAAAAGGATTTATTTTGTAATATTCACCATCTTGAAAACAAGTGTATTGGTTATTACTTTCAAGGCAGGTTGTGTAGTTGTCAACAAGCTTATCAATTATATCTTTACGGCAAAGTAACTGATGTAAAGACTTCAGCAGGGGAACATACTGAAAAGTCTTATTGGAATATGCTTCAAGTTTATACTCAACAGGTTCCAGCACTTCAAAATATTCTTTATAATATTGTTTACGTTTAAATGAGGTGGAAAGTGGACCACCCTTCGCTATAGCTTTCACCACAGGATTATTTGCATTAATGGCAAGGTTAACTTCATTAATTATTTGAAAGTCAGCCTGAACTTTGTGCCTCCTGAATACCTCAACAGCGGCTGTGTTTGAAACGGGCACTACAGCAGAAGTAAAAATGAAGTGTAATTCTTCCAACAATTCATCAATGGCAGAGCTGGGTACATGTGAAAAAACCTCTAATTTGAGCAAGACAGCAGCAAATTTCCTAATTATGATTTCCTGCAAGTTCTCATTTTCAGCTTCAACAAAACTAGGACCACTGGAGTTAGAGTGATTTTCTCTATCATCTGTTAAGTGTTCCTCAGATAGCTGATCTTCATTTACAAACCCTTTCAAAACTTCAGGTTTAAAGTCTTTTTCTGTGCAATTTCCATGTTTTCTATTCTTATGCGATTTGAAAGTACCATATATATTTGTTTGAAATGAACAGTTTTGAAAGATACAAGTGACTGTCTCAAAACACTTGAGATGGTTGTTAATATGGGAGAAATAATCTTTAACTGATATCAGTTTGCTTCCAGGACACAAGGAACATGTAAAGATAACGGGTTCTCCTGATCTACTTGAAGAATCAATATGACATCGACTCAAATGTGTTTTGAGAGCATTCCATGTTTTAAATGAACAAGGGCATTCATAGTATGTGCATGGATATGAGTGTCTTTGACCATAATGACCATGCTTTAATCTGTAATGCTTTAGTAATTGGTACCTTGTCAAAACACTTTCAGCACACTGTCTGCACTTCCACATTTAAAACCTAGGAAAAAAAATGAAAGAAGTTTGTTAATCATCATCAATAACTGTTTTTTTTAAAGAGCATAGATTTGTTTATCTATGTTGTACACGTTCCATTAATACCTCAAATACTTACAACCACATCTGAGCCACTTTTGTTGCATCTATTGAGAGACAGAACTAGCTAACCAACCTAAAATGAAAAGGGAACACACAAATTGT